CCTTGAAAAAATGCCCTTGAAGAGAAGGTATTTTGAGGGCATCGGAAAGATTTTGGACATTCTCCCTCTGCTAGCAGAAGACAGAGCCATTAGTCTCTTTCTTACAACAGGTGGACTGCAAAAAGTGGGAAAATGTGGGAAACACATGCCATAGGCTTAAAAAAGCGTTAAAACAAACTTTATACCTCAGCCTTCACTCTAACTTAAACAAGCTTAATAGAAGTCAAAGCTAACTTAGAAAAGGTGGCGGAGCTCTTTGGTTAAAGGCGGAGGCTGATGGAGAGCCCCTCACGGCAGCACACCAGAGCTGTTTGTGGAGATTTGCAGTGATTTCCTTTGGCTTGATGTCTTCTGCTGGGTGGACAGAGGAAAACAGGCCTCTTCCCCATGCCTGACCCCAGGGAGCAAACTGCACAGACTCGGCTTGTTCTGTGGTAACTGAGGGCCCATCAGCACGAGGGAGGGGACAGAGGCTGCAGAAAGCCTAAGGAGAGTGGGCTGGTGGGACAAGCCTTGTTCAAGAGCAGAACCCTAAATGTCCTTTAAAAGTGTCAAAATAGAGGGCCTCCCTGGTGGCACAAGAGGTTAAGACGCAGCACTGTGAAGCGATCCGCAGCTACTATAGCATGAGTTCGATCCCCAGCCAGGAAGCTGACCCACATGGTGCAGCAGACCTCTCCTGACTCACCCGCTGCTCCCCTCAGTATTTCAGTGGATCTGCCTGTTCTGCTCCCCACTCTGTCTCTGGTGAATCCTCTCACCCCTGCACCTCTGGCCTGTACCCATTTCTTGTATGCTTAAATAAGTAAATCTTTAAAAAAAAAAATTAAGTGACAGAATAAATGCTCACTCAAGAGAGGGAGTATAAATACATGTCCTTTAAAAGGAATGAATCAAACACCCAACAGAACAATCCCATGTTGGCTGGTGAATCCGCTCTCCCTGCAGGGTAACGTGGTGAGAGAGCAGAGCTTAATCAGAACAGAGTTTGGAAAAGTTTTATTGCATTTTGTCTCCATGTGGAAGCACTGACAGAATTGAAAAGAGGCAGCAGGTTCCACTTGTCTGAAAAATCACGCGGCTAGATTAACTCCCTATCCAGGACTGAATTTAATAAACCTTATCCCCCACCCCATCCCAAGCAAAAGCTAAAAAAGGTTTGTGGCGATCGCATAAGGAAAATCAAACCCACGTGTAAGATTTCACAGACGGTCAGTGTTCAGATTTCGGAAGGTCTCCCTGTCTGCTCAGCCCCCATAGGCCTCAAGCCTTCCTCTTTCAAACTCGAAGACAAGAAGTGCCTCCAGATGGCAAGGCGACTCGGCCTCGGGGTCGTAGGCTTGGGCGCATCTGCTGATGGCAGAGAACTCGACGGCCATCTACTGACTTTAAAAGTTTGGGGGCTGGAATGTCCCCCTCGCATCATGGTCGCCCCACATCAGGACAACCGTCTCCCAGGTTAAAATACAAATAAGACACAGCTACGTGCACATGTATGGGTCTAAAACATCAGAAAGTGAACCCACTTCAAAGATATACAAAATGAAGAAGGAACGATGGCAGGAGCTGCATGTTGGGGACTGTGGCTGTTTTATTGGGCGTGGACACAGTTTAACATCTTGTGTGGGCAGAGAGAGGTAGGGTGGTAAGAGTAGAACAAACAGGGAAAGGTAGCTCGCCTGAAATTGTGTAATTTTTTCTTCTTGATTGTGTAAGGCATTTTGAACTGGAAAAACTTCTTTGCTTCACATTTTCCAAATAATCAGAGGGAACCTAATTGGTAATTCACAATACAAATAAGACCCCCTTTAGCTCTCTCCCCAACCCCCTAAAAAGTCCTGTACACCCCAAGCCCATAAAGTACAAGGCAGGCAACCGGCTTCATGAATTAGGAGGCAAACCGTGTTCATCTGGAGGCTGACACTGCTGTTTCAAGGGCCCCTGAGGGCCCCGGCCCTGCCCCCTCAGGGCTCAAGGGGGAAGTGTCCATCTTCCATGAGGGTTTAAAGTCCCAGCGGGGCACCGGTCACTGCCTCCTGGGCAGGGGGAGGTTACAGCCTCCTATGCGTCCCCACCTGGCATCTGGATGGGTCCACAGCGTCACGCCTCACTCAGTTAGTACAAGTGGGCACGGCCTGGAGACAGCACCCTCCACGTTAGTCATGCCAGACAGAAAGCAGAGAGGAAACCAGAGGCCAGAGAAGTGATTTTAAAAAGGAAAAAGAAGAGCAGCTTCGGTCACCAAAAAATAGAAAAGGATGATCTCTTAAAAATAAAACATGGGCCCATTTTTTTTTCTCTGCAATGCTCAGCCATTTTACTTGAGACATAAAAAGTTTTAGAGTAGTTGCTCTGCTGTGTTCAGTTTAGACATTCATGAGAACGGATCGGACGGTGCTGTGATGTGGTTTGTGTCTGAGTGGCAATGCTGGTCAGGGGTCCTTCAGACCACATACTGGTAGGGGTCTGCCTTCCCTTGGTCTGGCGTGGCAAAGGGGCTGGCCCAGCCTAGAGAGAAGGGGTGGCCAAAAACGGCTTTCATGTTCATCCATTTTGTTTTTTTAGCCCATCTTCTCTCTTCCTTTTTCAATTGTTCTATTCCCTGAAAATAAGAACAATCATATTTTCAGTCAAGCACTTTATTGCTGTGGTTTTTGGGGAGGGATGTCCATGTGAATGGAATAAATGCTTCCTTTTGAAACCACGAAACTAGTCGCTACATTATACATTTTCCTTTTCTTTCTCATATAAAAAGTGTTTCTCAAGGGAAAGTCATGCCTTTTTTGGAAGGGTGGGGCCAGGCAGATATTCACAAGTCCTTCCAGGAAGGGAGGGAAAAATGAGCAGAATCAGTGCGCACGTAAGCCGTCCCTCCTAGTTATGCCGTGCGCTGTGTTTTGTTAAGTGGGGGCGCACGGCAGGGCCGCAGAGGCGCTCTGGCTGCGCTGGGCTGTGTGGACGTGCTGTGAAGGCTTCAGAGCCAGAAGCCTCGGTGCTGGCGGGGAGCTTTCGATCACGACGGCCAACGATGGCCCGTGATTTGTGACAGGTTCAGAGGAAGTCTGAAGCTACTATGACCACTTTGCAGACAAAAAAAAAAAGGAACAAATCAAATAATCGCTCTGGCGAGGTTAGTCTCACCAGCTAGGGAGGCCTGGAAGCACCCACTTAGCAGGGCAGGCGAGGCACACCGGCGAAGGTGGAACAGGGGTGAGAGACCAGGTGAGAGAGACATCACCAGAGAAGAGGAAGGAGGAAGAATTAGTTTAGGTTAAACGAGCCGCACGGATGACCAGTCAGCCTCCGTCATGGCCAAGGTCACGCTCATGCTCTTTCCAGGAGAAGCACGACAGCAGCCACCTCAGCAATTGTTTCGGAGCCTGTGCCACTCCCCTGCTAAATCTCACGAAAAAATGGCAGGGCGGGGAGAAAGCGGATTCCTCTCTTGCCCTTTCTTCAGCTGGAGAAGATCAGCAGGCAGGGCCTGAGAATGTGCACCTGCCCGAAAAACAGGAGAAGGGGCCTGGCAGGAGCCAGGTCAGGGGTCTGTCTGCCATGGTCTCATGAGGTGAAGGAGCAAGGGCAGGGCCTGAGGGGACAGCCCAGGCTGAGCCCTTGATTGGCGCCCGGGAAGGTTAGGGGGTCAAGGGAAGACATCTTTTTTTCCCGACGAGCTACGGGCCCTTTCCTCCTTTCCTTTCTGTTCCAGTGCAAATCCCTTTAGGAACGGCCTCGAGAGGGAAGAACACAGAGGACCAGGGCCTTCAGAGTTTTCCTTCTGGCTCCCCCAACCCAGGGCCCGTGTGGCCTGGTGACATTCCAACAGTGAGCGGGCCCAACAGTCACCTCTGGGTTCCCTGCAGGTCTCACGCAGAGAAACTGGTCACATTTACTGCGGGCCACGCAGCTGGTTCTATGCCATTGGCTACTGATTTTACAGAAACTCTTTTGCAATGATGGTATTTGTTATATAAGAAAAAAAGCTGTTGAGAGGCTTTTAAAACATTGGAAATGGCCACAGATCCATTGAGGGCACCATCGTTCTCTTTGGGGCATGAAGATTGCTGTCTCTTGGGGAGCACTGTCTTCCTATGTGCTCCAGCTAGTACCGCCTACCAACGGGCCAAACACCCCGCAGACTCGGGCACTGTGGAGGGCTGTCTGTTGAGAGCTGCCGCTGGGGACCTTGAAAGCCAGGGTGGCTCATGACCTCACGACTCTGCTCCACACACTGGAGCTAAGTGCTTCCCTTCCTCCTAGGGCTCCTTATCTAGGCCTCAGAGTCAAAGAAGAAATGCTCTGTATGACGCCACAGACTGACCCTCTTTAGGCTTTTGGACACGTTAGGAAGGCTGGGAGGTGACAGCAGTGGCACCAGGGCAACGGATTCCAGTTGGCTCAGCAGTGGCTTTGGAGCTCCGGGGAGCTGCTGAGCGAAGGGGCGAGTGGGTGCGGGGATGGGGAGAAGGCAGTGGATGAGTTCCAGAGCAGGGCCAGGTACAGATCACCTACAGACCAGGTGAGAGCTTGCTGCCCACTGCTCCGGGTTCTCAAACCTACCCTCAGGACTGAGTCACGAAGTCACCTCTGGGAAACTAACCCTGTCTGTGCAGCCTGGATCAGGGCACCCTTGTCTGGTTTCCAGACTTATGGCTCCCGGACAGGAAAGGTGTCCCAGTGTCAAGCAGCATGACTGTCAGAGTTCAGTGTGCAAGACAGCACCATGAAGGGATGGAAGGACTCGTGGCCAAAGAACCTTTCACCAAAGCTGTTGGTATGACCTGCTGTGCTGGCCCCAAGAGGGTAGGGGTTGAGGGGGTGGTGGTGGTGGGGTGGGTGTGTGTGTGTGTGTGTATGTATGTGTACACACACACCCAGGGTCACTGCAAAAGGAGGAAAGTGTCCTGTAAAGCCAGGGCCTGGCCGATGAGCTTGCGGATCTGACCTGTGAAGCGTCTTTCCCCAGGTGCAAGTGCATAGGCCGTGCAGGCGCCACTTACCGTCTCGTCTGTGCAGATGGAGTGCACCTGGGTCCCAAACATTACTGATGTGAAAATGAGGAAGAGCAGCCCTTCGAAGCACAGCAGGATGAGCAGGATCACGGTGGTGGGTGGCGAGAAGGAGCTGCACTCTGAAAGAGAAGGAACTCATGGGGCTCAGGGCTGCCGCCCAGTGCCCACTGCCCTCCACCCAGTTCCCCCATGGCTCCCACTCTGCCTCCTGCCCTGCAGGACTTTCTCCTGGGTGCCACACACCTCTGGCCTCCAGGCCTCAGGGAGAACCATCCTGTCCCACACCTAGCTGTACCCGCGCTCCCTCAGGGAAGACCTCTTCCACAGGCCAGGTGTCTGCCGGGCTTCCCTCTTTAACATGCATCATTCCTTGCTCCTCAGTAGCATAGGAGCTGGGGGCCTCGAGTCTCTTCCATCAGGAATCTTAACCAAAGGCAACAGAGAGGACACAGGGAGGATTCTGGGTACTGGAATCATCTACACAGGGCTGGAAAACTCTGCTCCAGAGACCAAGGCCTCCTTCACTGTGTGAGGTTGGGAATGCAACCTCTGTAAGCCCCAGCTTTTGTCATATGCAAAGTGGAGGGAGAATGTCTCTTACCTTGCAGGCTTATTATGAGATTGAAACAAGGAACTGCTCAAAAAATCCCATGGGCCATGTGCTTTACTCTTAGTGGACACTAATAAAATGGCCCTGTCTGTTCTGCTCCAAAGAGAGATATGCCTCAGAGATGGTCTGTATGACCGTCATCACTGCCCAGTCTGTTAACATGACGCCAGACAGCAAGTAGTATCTGTGATAAAATGCCCTTGTTGGACTACTCTAGCAAGTTGCCAAGGCCACGTCTGTAGTTGAACTGGGTCCCTGGGGCCTGGCAGAATGTATGTACTTACAGATTATTTACCAAGTGATCAGGAACTTGCTGTGACCCACTCAGCTACACAGAATGGAATAGTCTGTAGAAACCCCTTCACCCCACCCTCTGCCCTTCTCCCTTCTGTCTACTAGCTGGGCCTTCCTCTTGCTGGCCTGTGCCAGAGCTCTGGTGTTGGAAAAATGGACTGATGTGGTGGTGCTACGGGTTAAAGTGTGAAACACCCTCATCCTCTGTCCCTCTGTTGAAGCCCAAACACCTAATGCTGTGTTATTTGGAGGTGGGGCCTTTTGAGAGGTAGTGAGCCAGAAAGGCCGTTAGGGTAGGTGCTCCTGTGGATGAGCTGGCTACTACACACGGGCTTCTCTTGCCCTGGTTGGAGCCAAGCCATGCAGAGGAATGGACAGGGCAGAAGAGTAGAAGGGGAAGTTGCAGACTTTGAACACAGGCAGGGAAGACCTCTTCGTATTGGTTGGGAACTAAAGAGATTGTCCTTTACCCGGCCACACGAATTCTTGGGAAAAATAATGGCAAGAAAATGCCTAAGAAGTCAGTAGACACAGGAAGGGCAACATTTCTAAAAGATGGTGAAATGAAAGTGTGAGATCCAGAAGGTGGCCCCTCAATTCCTTCAGCATCTATTTAAATTTGTTTTTCACATTTCTTAAAAATTAAGTTTTTTCGCCCTCTAGTTTTTTCTCACAGGATTTATGCAATCTTTTGGAGTTCCTTCTTCAGCATTTGTACAGTTTTCCCCCAAAGATTTATTTTATTTATGCATATAAGAGCTGGGGTGTAGGCCAGAGGTGTAGGGGTGAGAGGATTTACCAGAGACAGAGTGGGGAGCAGAACAGGCAGATCTACTGAAATACACTGCTGAGGGGAGCAGCAGGCAAGACAGGAGAGCTCTGCTGTGCCTTGTGGGTAGCTCCCTGGCCGGGGACTGAACTCATGCTGCAGTGGCTGGTGATAGCTTTATAGAGCTGAGACTTTACCCCTTGTGCCACCAGGAAGGCCCCAGCATTTGTACATTAATGGGATATTCCTAAAGCAGGAGAATTTGTCTATAATCTTAATATAACTTGCTGATTAAGCAGTTAAAAAAACAACCACAAAAAATAAATCACAAAAACCTCCACACCTAGCCAGGAAGTTAAAAATGGACTTCCATAGACTGGAATATGATAACCTTTGACTAAGAGGCTTCTGCACTGAAATTCTCTATCCCTGAAGAGCTCCCTGCTTGGGAAACATCTCCTTGCTGGGGGCACCATCCATCCAGAGGGGCTGCCCAGCTCACTACTGTACCTGTGGGACTGACTTCAAGGGGTTGTTTTTTTCAGGAAGAAAGTTACAGCTTCCTGCTGTTTCTTCCCCAGTCAGTCCATATGCTTTCAGAAAATCAAATGAGGTGGACCCCTGGCACCACGATGGAAACACAGAGCACATCCCACCCCCAGAGCAAGGAGGGAAGTCCTGGCTCATACTCACTTGTCCAGTCTTCTTCAAAGCAATGCAGGAAGTGGAATCCCACCATGATGAGGGCGTGCAAGGAAATGAGAGCTATGTACATCTGAAACAGGAAAGCAGTGCAGATGCCACCATTGTGAGAACCTTCCGAACAAGCAGGCTCCCGGAACCTCCCACTCAAGCATACTTAGTTAGGCCGAGGGCTGGCCAGGATGGGAGGCCACAGAGGCTTGTGGTGATTCCCCCTCACTTCTCCCCCTGCCCCCAGTCCTGGGTGTGAGGTGAGCAGCCATTCCCTAGAGGGTGTGGGACAAGAAGAGAAACGGGTGCCCGTCACCAGGTGTGACCTGGGCTCTAGGTGGGCTGCGCTGCCCTCTCCCCACCCCACAGCACCCCAGGCCTGCTGCCTCATCTCACTCTGAGAAGTCAGGGTGCTGACTGCCCAGGGCCCTTAAAGCCCTTCCACTAAATTCATCCATGCACCAGCAGCCAAGGGAGAGCTTGCAGTCCTCAGCAAAACTGCCTTTAGCTACTAGAAGTGGGAGCTCCTGAGGATGGGAGCCCAGAACGCAGCCCCTGCTTACAACTAATCAACTCGAGTGCATTTCTTAAAGCTCAAGCGTAGGGCTGGGGAGCGCTGCGGCGGAAAGGCAGAGGTCTACACGGCGGGCAGTACTCTGAATGGCAGCAGGGTGCTGAGGACTCCTGAGGGAACAAAGCTCCACTGCTTCCCAGAGGGGGCAGGCCCGGGAGGTGACTTACTGTAAACAGGACGAAGTACTTCTGGTTGTTCTCGCCGACACAGTTGTTGACCCAGGGACAGTGGTGGTCCATCTTCCGAATGCACCGCTTGCACACACTGAAAAAGCCCACGAGGCAGACCTTTAGGGGTGTCCTCACAATGGCCAGTGGGCCCTTGGGGACACAAGCCTGGGCCCCAGTCCACTCCTCCAGCGCTGCCCAGCATTCTGCTGGGTGGGTGTGGCAGCGGACTTAGAAGGCAGAGTCAGGAGCCCAGGGTCAGACGGGGACATTATTTTACCTCCAAATATCTTGATTAATGTAAATTGGGTGAAACAGACATGGCTAAGAGGTTGCTCTCCTGAGGTAAAAAGCTGAGAATTTTGTTTATTGAGAGGATAGAATAAAGACATCTCAAAAACTTGACGGGATGAGATGGGATAGAGAAAACAGCTGCTCCTTGTTTCCCCAAACACCAAAAATCTGGGAAGGGGAGCAACGTCCTGCCAAAGCACTGCCTTGTACTATTAGGGAGGGTAGGCTGAGGAAGTGAGCACTAGAAGAGTTCAGAGCAGGGCCAAGGCAGAAAGGCCGCCTCCAAGAACCTTTTAGCCCTAAGACAATATCCAGTTAGTTGAAAAAAGCAGAAAAGTCATTTGAGTTTAAATATTTGAGTATAATGTTGATCAGATGACTTCACTAATTTGCAAATTATTAACTTGCTACTGGGTCATATTTGGACAGAGGCTGTTTCAAGTGTGTTTGATAGCAAACACCCCACTCCTTCTCAAACCATACAGATCAGTGATATGAAACGAGTACAAGGCTAGAGGGGGCTTGAAAGCAGCTACTTCCCAGTGCTCAAGTCTGGAAAGACCCATGTGTCAGTACATGGGCGCATCAAAACCTGCTCCATTTTTAATTCATTAATATAGGCTGCTCCCTAACATTGATTTTGGGGGCATCATTTGTTCAAAACAGTTTGAAATACTCTAAGTATGAGTTTGGAGATAACACAACTATATTTATTTTTAAAGTTTCTTAGTTTGCACCTGCTTTCTTTCCATTAGTTTCCACAGCTAACTTTCTCCAGGTGACCCCTGGGGAAGGGTGGGCTGGGGGCCCTGCCTGGAGGATCAGGGTGTCACACGCATGTGCTGGTGCTCACGGAGTTCTGGTCCTCACAGGGCAGGGGAGGTGCAGGAGGAGCTCTTCTGGGTGTGGGAGTGAGCTGTCCCCCGGATCCAGGCTGAGAAGCCGTGGCATTTTCTAAGCGTGGCACAAGGTTTGAGGGCAAAGACCTGGGTATGCGGAGCTCCCCTAGGCTGGCTCACCGCCGAAATTCATGTTTCCCACTACAGGGAGTAAGTATTGTCATAAGGACTAAGGAGAACAGAGATGGCGCCTGCCTTGGGTGAGTGGTAAAGTCACACAGGCTTCTAGCCTTGCTCTTCTCTACAATTTCGGAGGGCCTCGCTGACACAGAATATTGGGGGTGGACTCAGTCTGCGAGATGCTGACCCAGCCCCAGAATCTCCCTGGTGACTGGGAGGGCAGGGTAAGAAAGGGAGGCCTAACTGGGCATGGAGGGAAACAGAGTCAGGTACCAGCAACTCTATTACCTGGTGTCTCTGTTACCAATTTAAACTGTCTGGATACATAATATGTATTTTAATTGACAAAGTTTGTTCCCAGTATAGAATTTTAAAGATACAGACAAGTGAAGAGTGAACTGCTGTGTCCTGTGTCTCAGCCACCAGGCCCACATTTCCTCCACAGAGCCACCACCCCTGTACCCCATTGTTTACATGTCCTTCCCCAAGATCTGGGGTTTCTTAATTCCCTTCCTGTCAGGGGAACAGACTCTTGAGGGTAATCACCTCCCTACTCCAGGCTCTTGAGCAATTTCTCTTCCCTCTGTACTTATTTCTCACAGGGTTTCAAGTGCGTGCTCTGAGGCAGTGTTTGCTCAGCAGCAGAGAGGCACCAAGTTGCCTGTGAGCCTCTGAAAGCTGCCCGAGAGTTTAAATAAGCCCTCATGGCAAATCTGGCCTTTGCTCTCCTCCCAGCCTCACTGAAGAGACCAGGCTACTGTGAAACCAGAAGCTGGGTTTCACAGTGGCTGTCTTATTGGGCAGCCAAAGTGAAAAATACCCATCCTTCAGGGAGCAGGGGAAAGTGAGCACAGCGTGTTCTCGAATAAGCTCATTGCATTCAAGGTTGCTTTGTTATAATGTTGGCGGGAGAAAGCAATCCCGGCCAATGTGGAGTGAAATGATGTTATTTCAGGACCTGCTTTCTTTAGCCATTGGTTTTTCTTGAAGTCATAGTTTCTAAGAACCTATCAATGGCGTTAAGTGAGGACTCACTGAGTAGCCTACCGAGAAACGGAAAGGTTGGTCCAGAGTACTGGTCTCCGAGTTTCCCACAAAGACATGAAGTCTCAAGGTGGCACTTCTCCCTTTGGAGAAGTCGAGGCGCTCCTTAGAGCACAAGCCGGCTCCCCAGCCAGTGGTGGTGCACGGGGTCAGGGTGTCCGTCGGTGCACATGGCTGGAGACACTGCTCAGAGGCTGAACGGCTCTAGGCCAGGTCTGAGTGGGTCAGTGAAGCTCACCCCAAGGGGTGACTATCCACACCCTGCTCCTGTTTCACATCAGGCACCATTTGTCATGAGTGCGGAGAAAGCTTCCCTCCACAATCTCCGGCACCCCGCTGGGAAGGCAGTCTCCCAGAGGCAGGCCTCTTCCCAACTCCCAGTGCACAGTGAGCAGGGGGCTCAGCAGAGTCCCCCTCCCCAGACACAGCAGGGCAGCCCAAGCATGGTGGGCAGGCAGACCTCCAGGCCCTCTTCACTCGGGCTACCTGGGGACATCCTGGTACGCAGGCACCAAGGACATGGCAACAGGTCAGAAACGTGCAAAAGCCGTCACTGGAAAGGCCAAATGTCTTAAAATGGAGATATTTTTAGTGTCCCTGCTTCAAGGTTTCCCAGCTGTCTTCTGTGTTTGTTTCTTTTTTAAATCAAAAAATGTTTTTCTTTTTTTGTGTGTTTTTAAATCATTGTCTTAGAAGACTGTCGATGCTTCCCCACCATTTTCTAGCACTTCCTTCAAAAGCTTGTCAGAGCCCAACAAGCTCAACGGTGGCTATATACAGTCAGGTCCTCTGGCATTAATGTGCCCTCTCTCCAGGGGGTGTAAGGGCCCTTCCTCTGTCCTCAGCCCCAAAGGAGCTGGCTAGGCCCTCCTGCCCACCCCTGGTGATGATTCACCCCAGAAGCATAGCTGTGTCTGTGAGGGTCCTGTGTCTCCCCCACAGCAGGACTTACCAAACTCTCAGGGGGACAAGCGCATCTGCCCTGCCTGGGTGGGGGCTCTAGGGTCAGGTTGCCCAGGGCTGGATCCGAGGCTAACCCACCACTCACACAGATCTAAGGGTCCTGCATAGCAAGGGTCTGCTGAGTGAAGGCCCTGACGCCAGATAGGGAAAGAACAGCCTAAGAAATGGGATCCACCACATCAGATTGGGGTGCCCCAGAAGGAAAAGAGAACAGAGCAAGAAGGTACTTGGTGGACTATACCCCACACATCGGTTTTCGTATCATACTTCATGGCTTTGATCAAAATTATAAGCAAGAAGGTAGCTGCCACATCCTGACCACAGCTCGGAAATGATTTTAGGTAAGGCAGGGCAGTGCAGTGGAAAGAACACTTATTTTGGATCCCCACTTTGGGCTCTGAGCAAAGAAACTCAGCAGCTCCAATCTATTCTCTGCAGAATTAGCTCTCATCTCTCAGGGTTAGAGATGTACGTAAACGCTTCAAAAACAATACTAGCACAGATTTTATCAATAATCAGAACCATGAGAAAAACAAGAGAAGATGCTGATAGGGGCCCTGAGCAGCCCACGACCACTCAGCTTGGCACACGGCACGTGTGTGTCTCTACGGTCAGGACTGTAAGGGGTCTGTGGCTCGCTCTATGTCACAGCTCTCCATCCTTATTTACGAATCTAACACGCAAGGCCAGCACACTGGCTGCCCACAGTAGCATAAGTGGCCCCCCGGCAACATTTCTACATGCTTTCATGGTCCTCGCCAACAGAAAAGTCAATGCCAACAGAGCAGCCTGGGGTTCCAAGTGCTTCTCCTGGGAAGGAAGATGCACCCACATACTATAGGACTGGCAGGAACAACTACAGGTTCAAGGTTGGGGAGTGTTTCTGGTGCCCACCAGAGCTCAGAGAATGCAGACAGTTTTCAATTCCAGGGACTCTGTTGGGAGGAGAGGAACGGGGAAAGCACGTGTGTGCACACACGCACCAAGACTGCGATCCTCTTTCTCTAACAGGGAGCGGGCCTCTCAACCCAACCTGCCATAAACTTGCTCTGCTGGGGTGCTGGGGACTCTGCTGATTTAGGCCAACACAAGCCACCACAAAGGAGCGGTTGTCAGCACACATTTCCTGAGGCAGGAACAGGCTACGCACAGGCAGCCTCACTCAAGTTCATCTGAATCAGCAGCTCTTGTTTTGCTCAAGTTGATTTGTTTACTAGCACTCAAGAAGCTCTCCCTCAGATCATCCTGAGGAGAGAGGCAAAGAGGAGGCGGGAAGGAAAATGCCAGGAGGTGGAGGCAGTTCCGAGGGCTCAGGGAGGAAAGAGAAAGAACCACAGCAGTTACTCGGAAGTTCTTTTCCAAAACAGTTCCCACTTCCTTTTTTCTGGGGCAGCCTATAATCCAGCACATCCTGAGGTGCACATTTGCTCTATTAACAAATTGCTTCCTTCTGTCGAGCTCGGTGACTCACAGAGTTGCTCATGTTCAATCCTCACAAGTTAGGGGAGAGCAACCCTTTCTACAGAGGAGAAAGCTAAGGCTGAGATGTGGCACCAGACCCAAGGTCCACAGTGTGGCGGTGACAGAGACAATTTCCAACGCTGACCTCTCCAAGGCCGTGGCCTGCTCCACACACAGGGTTGCCTTGTGGAACCACATGAGCAAGTTGGGCCTTTTCATCTGGGTGTTGCTTAGGAAACAACTGGCTGCCCCAGCCTTAGGGTGGCAGGAAAGCCTAGACAGATGCCTCCGTCTAGACAGAGGGAGCAAGATCAAATCAGCTTCTAGCACAGCTCTTAGAAGCAAGCTGACCCAGAGAGAGAAAACTCACAGGAGACAGTAGTTACCAAAGGACCCTGACCAAGCTCCTCAGTCCTCACCTTCAAGAGGTGACCACTAATTAGGGAGGTTTCCACATCTCTCCCATTCAGATAGGCAGAAAAACAATACAATTACATTAGGTCACAGGAGTCATCTCCAAACTGGAGTTCTAGACTGGGACCTAATCCTGTCTCTTATATTCAACAGGAGTGACCTTGGAGCCATCACATAACCCCCGCCCCCTTGACCCTTATTCCTTATCTAAGGAGATCCTACCTATCTCTGGGGTGACTCTGAGGACGAAAGATGACTGATGACGAGATAGAGCGGGCTGAGGTGCCTGTGCCGTATAAGGAGCTGACTGTGGGATCTGAATGATGGAGACTGACTGCTATCTTCCAAGAGGTGGGCATCAAGGCCCACAAAGAAACACCACCTTTTAGCAGCTCAGATCTCTCACAAAACCCAGGGTTCCCACAGTCTCAGACTGACAAGGATGACCTCCCAACACCGGGAGCCAGTTCACTCCTCCACAACCCCTTCCCACCCCAAACACATTCGAGTCTGAAAAAGGTCACAAATGACACAGACTGTAGCTTTTAAATGTACTTAGCATTTAAAGTATGCTTGTAATGATAAAGTGCAATTTTTAGCTAGATGTCTTCTTGTGAAGAAGACTCAAAACCACAAAGAAATCTGAAAACCAAAAGGGAAAAATCCCTCCAGATAAGATGGGAAAATGGCTTTTTAGGCTGAATTCTACAGTCGTCACAATCTCTAGAAATTGTTTTAAATAAAGTCCTCATTCAAGGAAAGCCCCTTCGCCACTCTCCACAACTCAAGTGGACAGGGCCGGCTCCTAGAGAGTCACACACTGGGCATTCACGGAGTGATGCTCTGAGACTGCCTGGGTGCCCTTACTCAAGTAATCAAACTGTGAGGCGGGAAGAGCAGGAGTCCCGAGTTTAAAGACATGGAGATAAACAGGGAGACAGTCAAGGGTCTGTGCAGGGTCCTCTGTCAGCTGTGGCACAGCCACATCTGGGGACAGACCAAGTCCAAACCAGCTGCCCTTTCCAATCTAGCAAACTCATGGGGCGGGGAGAGTGACACAGGGCGGGCACTCCATGCCCAGAGGAGAGGCATTCAGAAGTCCTGTTGCTGACGGCGCTGGGGGCAGCGGTGCTCTCCAGAGTGCGTGTGTCTGGGTGGGCGCATGCGTACCTGCAGTGGTGGGCTCGGTCTGGCTTGATGCTGCAGCATTTGGGACACTTGTACACCACCTGCCCAGGCTTCAGCTGTAAACTCTCGATGAATTCCTTAGTGGCATTTCCTTTGGGCACCGCCCCCTATAACAGAGGAAAGGCATCAGGGTTGGGCTGGGGGTTCCCTCACATCTCACATTCCACAGTGGAGATGGTCATTTTAAAGCACCGACTACAAACACATGGACTGGACATTTTCATCCCAACAACAAGAGGACATATTCAGAATTATGCCAACACTGACGAATATTTACTGACAAAGAATTTTCCTGAGGAAGTGCTACCAAATTAAAGCCTTTACGGTTACATTGTTCCTGGTGATTTCCTATTTTCATTTTACTGAACTTGCTTTCATTGAATCCATTCTTTCCTATGTAAACAGTCTAGTGAGATTCAACTTACCAATTACTTTTTGGTCTACATTTAATTTCCTGGTATCAGCTACAGTCTTTGAGAGGGCAAAATATCTAAGAGTCTGGTATTTCCAGGTCAAAATTTGCAACTCTAAATTTTAATTGGTTCAGTTTCAAATGCAATCAGTCTGAATTTAGTTGTTAGTGAGTCTTCAAGCCACGGTGAACCAAGGCCCTCACATATTCCACTTGCTCTCTGACCAGAAGTGCCCTCTGATTTGCAATGCCATTCTGTTAGGATGTTTGTGACTACTTTGCTGTCCTAGATGTCCATGCTTTTGGTGGAAACAGTACCAGGGCTAAAATGCCAGAGTTAGCTTAGGCTGTGCACCTGGACAAACAAGGAAAACAGGTAATACCAGGCCCAAGGAGGGCCTCAACAGCCAACTTCACCAGGTGCCTCCTGGAGCTCAGCTTGTACACCTGCATTCCTTGCTCTGGATCTGGGACTCAAACAAAGCCTGTGCCTCCAGAAGGCTTCTGGTTTTTTGGAGACTGATCTCAATCCTAGAAGACAGTTCTAGAATTCTAGTTTGGCAAAGAGAAGCTGCAGCCAATTGACCAAGGGCTAGAGAAGTCTTAAGGGCGGTTTAAGAGCTGTCCTGAGGAATAGTGCAGGACAGAGGAATAGTCTAGGTGGACTTTGCGGGGGGGAAGGAACTCCAGCCTGAGAAGGGGCATAACGAGGCAGTGAGGTGAGAGTAAGCACTGCTTATTTGGGAGACAGTGAGAATATCAGTGTGGCCAAGCCCAAGGCACACAGTATGAGCATACGAGACTGGACTGGTGGGCTGGGGCAGCCCGATGTTCCATGCCAGACCTAAAGGCCCAGATAAAGTTTTTCTTTCTAGGCAGCCCAGAGCTATCAGACAACATTGGTGCTTCAGGATGAGAACCCAGTTGCTGATGCTGTGCGGATCAGGTTAGAAGAAAGATAAAAATGCTAGAGACCAGCCAGGAAGTTACTGCTGATGTAAGGAAGAACTGAATTATGAGGATGGAGAAGCGTAGGGAGGAAATCCAGAGATCCAGACAAAAGACGTAGGGAACTAAGTTAACATTGTCATGGTAGAGTGGGTGATGAAAAGAAAGAGAAGAGATGAATACAAATAAGGCTTCAATTTTTAGCAGCTAGTATAGGGTGGTGCCCTTGACCAATGGGAGACACAATGGAAGCAAGCTTTGGGAAGAGACGACCAGTTCACACTCAGCATGTGCGCTGTCTGAAGTGCCCAGGAATCCCCAGTGGGAGGTGGAGCTCTGGGCCTAAGCAGCAGGAGAGAAGAGCAGTCAGCGCCATCGCACAAGGGCTAAGCGGCGGGCTCGGGAGTCTGCTGGCTCTGAGTTCTGTGTTTGCAAGTGGTATGCAGGTGAAAGCCTGGCCTCTCTGTGCCTTAGTTCCCTAACTGGTGAGCCAGGACCCATCTTACCTAACTCCTAGTGTTGCTGTTAGGGTTAAACAGACATAGCCACGATAACCTGTGGAGATGAGGGCTGCCTTAGAGAAAATGCTCAGTACTGCAATAGACTGAATGTTTCCCCCCCAAATTCCTACGCTGAAATCCTCAGGAGGTCTCACATAAAAGGGCCACAAGAGGAAGGTGCTCTCATTTGGTATTTTGCTCTTCTAGACGGAATCAGAGATGTCATTTAACATTGTCTTTCTAAGAGCTAAAGGCTAAGGTCTGAGGTCAGTTCTCACCCCTCTGGAGTGACTGCATTTGCATAAACCTCATAGAACTCTCATCCCCACCCAGGCAAGACCCCACCTGCCCAGCCATTGAGCTCATCTCTCAGAGCCAGTAGCTGCTGGGCCAGCCACTCAGACTGCGGAGTGGGTAACACAGGCACTATGCAGTCTCTGCCTCAGGTGCTTCCCCCCACTCCTTTTTTAAAAGAATATGCTCATCTAGCTTATCTCTACAGATTTCAGAATTTTCCGTTGTGAGTTCACAGTAAGGAATTTTGTTCTGCACAATGCTGGACAGATGGCAGGGAGTCGGGGCCTGCTGAGACACTCCTGCCTGTGTGCTCATGCTGGTTTTGCCCCCCCCCCACCTCCACTGGTTCTTACACGCCTCCCAGGATGTTTAGAAGCTTCCGTGTTACTGAGCCTGCAGATGAAAATGTACTGATCTTTCCCCTCATTCCCAAAGTAATACTTGTTCATGACTTCAAAATATATAGAGAAAAAATTAAAAGAGAAAGCCCTACCCACTGATTCTATCACCCAAAGATAAGTACTATTAACATTTGGTGCATATTCTTTCCAGTATTTTCTCTTTGTACATCATAAGTTAAAGATATTTTCAAAAATCTATAGATCCAAAAAATGTTCCTACATTTCTAAAATATATATTTGCCGCACAGTGGAATGTATTTAAATCTGGGAGAAAGGTATGATCAGCTCTCCCTTGGTGGCTAGCTTCAACTTCTAATACTTTCTGCAGCTCCCACCCACTTCCTTTTCTCTTCCAGAGATAACTGAGGCTGCTGGAGTAAACTCCCTTCATTTTCTTTCTCTCTCTCCCCACTGTCTTCCCTCCAGCCCCCTCCTAAACACACAGGGACCCAGCTCTCCTGGAGGACTAGTGCCCCAACAAAGCCTCATTTTAGGGTCCCAACTATTCCCCCAGAGCTTTCCCTCTTATTCTTAGTTGACTTCACACTCTCTCTTCCCTTAATAGTTAAGCTTCTAGATTTCTATGCATTTGCTGTTTTGTTTACTTCTTTTTTTTTTTTAATAACATTTGTCTTCAGTTTCTTTTTTTTTTTTTTTTAAAGATTTATTTATTTATTTGTTTGTTTATTTATACAAGCACTGGGTACAGTCAGAAGCGCGGGAGGGTGAGAGAACTCTGCAGAGCCAGAGCGGGGAGCAGAGCAGGCAGAAGGACCGAAGTACACTGCTGAGGGGAGCAGCGGGCGGCAGGAGAGGTCTGCCCGCCATGCGGGACCCTCCTCCGGTGGCCAGGGAGCAGCCGGGGATCGAACCGGCGCTGCAGAGGCTGCGGGCAGCTTCGCAGCCCAGCGCTCAATCGCTGCGCCACCGGGGAGGCCCTGTTTTGTTTACTTCTTACTCTCTTTTGCTCCGGTTCTGTCCCCTCCACACCAGGGAACTGAGTCACAGTGGCCAAATTCACAGGTCGGTTCTTAGCCCTCGCCTTCCTGGGTTCTCCTCACTGACAACTTCCTCCTTGTTACCAGCTGCCCTGCTCCCTTTGGGTCTCCTCCTGCCTCGCCTTTCTTGAGATCCTTCCCTTCCTGAACAATCAATCTACTACTACCTCTTCTGTGCTCATTCTGGACAAACTTGCCCATCACCACCCAGTGACCATCAAATCACCAGCACTACCCCAGACCTCTTGAGTGCAGATAATTCTACCTGGTTGGTCAAAAGACAAAAGCAAACTCTCCAAATTCAACATACTAAGACCAAACTTATTACCTTCTTCCCAAACTGTCCCTGGTTCCTGGCCCACTGCCCATCTGTCTATTCTGCCCATCTGGGGTAGAAATCTGGTGCCATCCCCAACTTTTCTAGCCCTCTGCCCCACATTCCTACCTACTCCACCAGGTCAATTCATCCCCAAACTGTGCCTCTAAGCCCATGTATTAAGGCCACTGTCAAGGCCTTAATACAACTTCATCAAGTGCCCCAGGTACCAGCATCTCTCAGGTCTTCCTGAATCCCTCTCTCCCTCGCCTCTTGCAGCCCACCTCCATCCTCTCCCGCCTCCTCTTGTCCATACTTAACTGTCTAAAACGTGAATTCGATCAGGTCATTCCTTGTCTAAAAGCCTTCACTCGCTCCCTAGCATCTTCCCATGGCCCAGAGGCCCAGCTCCCAGGCAGGGCTCTTCCAAGGTTACCCCAAGCCAGCCCTGGACCCCCACCCAGTGTCACCTCCTTCCCTGACAGTCCGGCCTGGCAAGGTGCCTGGAGTTTCCCAAAGGCATCCAGCGCCCTTTAAGTCTTTCTCTCATGCCCACAGGATCCCCGTATTAGCGTGTCCCCTCCAGGCTGCCAAGTACCTCCTTCCCTCTTGCGTCTAAACCAAACTCACTCAGAGATTCACCTCCTTGGCTTTTTTCCTGTTGGCCCCAGGCCACACCCAATACAGAACCTATTACTTTGCCTTGTGCTCTCACAGGTAGTATTTGTACTATAACAGCTACCATTTAATTACACAGATCTCTCCTACAGGTCTGTAAATTCCTGGAGGACAGAGACAATGTCTTTCAACTTGTGACTCGCCCAGGGCTTGGCAAACAGCTGTATTCAATAAACCTAAGCTGAATAATAATGATGATACCACAGACATTTATTGAGTGCTTACATGCCAGGCACAGTTCCAAGTGCTTTATTATATTTTGTCAGTTAATTCTGACAATTAAGAGGTAGAGACTAGGATATTCCTCAATTTGTATACAAGGTAACTAAAGCAAAGAAGTTAAGCAACTTTCCAAGATGACAAGGCTAACAAGTAACAGACCCAGGATGCAGATCCAGGCAATTCAACTTTAGAACCTATTCCTCTATCAGAAGACACCTTACACATATATTAAATATTTCCATGAAGTAACTTAAAGAGGCTTTTAAAAAAACTGCTTTGAAACCATATTATCATTCTCCTGCCAAAACCTGAATCATCACACTAACAACAGTGAA